CTGGGAGACGACGGCGAGAGAGAGGAGAGAGATAGCACATCAGAACAACGCACGCACAAACTAGGAAATACAGGCAGCACCGAGAAACGCACAAACATACACACGCATCTGCAACTACCACTCAATTTACAGTGTTTTGTTGCAATTGCATGTGCCTTAAGCTGCCGTGCCCTTCAATGCTAGCGCTCCTCTGTCGATATAACGCACTTCTTGAAAATATTCTCTTCTGTTCGCCCTCCCGTTAGCCAAAGGAACGAACACAAGTCATGTAACATATTTTTGCGCCATCGATGCAAAAAGAAAAGAGAGAGAGAGAAAAAAGAAAATGACGACAAAAAATGAACGAAATCGAGAGGTAAAGTGAATAACGTACGAATATCAGCGCTGCGTTTGACAAGGGACGAACCATTTTTAAAAATCAAGGGACGAGTTTTTTTATTCTTTCGTTCATCCATCTGCGCTTCGTATGTGGCGGAGAGCTGAGGCAAAAGAAGCAACTAGTGTGTATCTCTCAGCTGCATACACGAACGCACACAAGACTTCGTAACGGAACAGCAACACACATGCACACACATACGTACACACTCACACTATCACATGCACACCTTGACCAGTTCCGGCAGGCAGTGTGGTGGCCGTCGCTTCACGTGGTTGCGAGCTGTGGGTGTGGCGACGCACGCCGTTCCCACACACGTTCCGCGCTCACCTCCCGTAGCTCTTCATTTATTTAGGGTCTCTACTTGGCCGCAGGAGCAGGGAGAGAGAGATGCCCTTTACTCGCTCGCCCTTTGTCACTCGCCTTCTGCAGGAGGGGAGAGAGCGAGGGGCGTCACGAGGGGACAGAATAATGAGAGAATTATGTGCCGTGGCAACTCATCAGGGCGGCAATTGTCGTGCGAACTCGGCCCACCGGCCCCTGGGCGGCACCGCGTCTCACGCCGCTTAATCGGGTACAAAAATGTCGTCTATTTCCCGATGTTGTGGCTTATGGCACATGGCAAATTGCATTGATTCGCGTCTGGTGTTGTTAAGATGCGTGTCCGTGGGTATGATGAGTCGCATGAAGATTCAGCGGGAATATGCAAAGCGGCGGAAAGTCTACGAGGCATGTCGAACCTTCAACCCGAGAGAAAGTAGGCTGGCTCACTTTGTGGTCGCCTCGCTATCTAAAACCTCTCTATTTACGAATTAAGGGGACGAGGGACAGCCCCTTTGCTTCGGCCACTTCGCTCAGATGTATGTTCTGTACAATATATGAAGAGCCCATTCGCAGGGTTTCAGTGTTAGGGCGAATTAAGGACTTTGAATCAGGTGTGCGGAGGCTATCATTAGGAGGTGGGAGGGCCAGACCGGGTGGGTGAGGGCGGGAAAATGCCGCCCTTGGACGAACGTTGTGAGACTCGACTATTCACAATCAATAATTAACGCTTTGCGCCCGTCCCTTCGGCGTAATCCCGCTGCCTGGGCGATCCCGAATTTCGTGAGTCCTTCTTTCGAGAGGGCATGAGCGTCCCTCGCAGCAGACGCAGGCCCCTGTGGGCGAGGGCGGCAAGGCAGTGTGTCCGCAAAGAAGTGAAACACTCTGCAGCGCAACGGAACGGCGGCCCGTGGGCGGCCTCGGGCCCCGGCGGGCGCGGAGGGCGGCGGCGGCCGGCCAATCAGCGCGCAGCATCCGCCCTCCGCCGCCCCTCGCGCCGCACTCCGCTCCCAAGTAGTGCACGCGTCCGAGCCTTTCTCCTCGCCTTCCTGTGGGTGCTTCGCCAGGAGTCTTCTAGCGTGTGTTGGTCGGCCGTGTGGGTGCAGGCTGTGAGGGCCAGGGCGTGCCCGCACGAGCGTGGGCGTGGGCGTACTCTCTCCACCCACCGCGGAGGAATACCAGGTGAAATTGGGCAATCGGAGCGAGAGAGAAGCGGCTTTGAATCCGCGCAGCTCGGCCGTGGAATCTGGCTTTATTTTCGGCTTGCTGAGGCGCTATGTCCGCCCAGACGGTGCAGGGGATGAAGACCGAGCCTGTGGTGCAGCAGACGTCGTCCCAGGTGAGTGCAGGGCGCCGAGGGCGCAGCGGGGCGCGGGAAAGAGGGGAAAGGTGTGCATGTCCTTGTGTCGGGAGGCGATAGGCTCCGCCTTTGCAGGAGGCGTCACTGCCAGCAGCCACGTGCTCCAGGATAACCCCGGGGCCAGCCCTTCCTCGCCGGGCACCGCCCACACTGCACCCACCGCCCATCACACCCCGCCCATGGCACCCAGGCCGCCCCCGACCCGCATGCAGCCCGCCCGTGGCTGCCGAGAGGGCGTGAAGAGGCCAGGCGGGGAGATGCCCTGGCGAACTGGGCGGGGCTGAAGGAGGAGGAGGAGGAGGAGGTGGAAGAGGAGGAGGAGGAGGAAGAGCTGGCGTAGGCCGAGTGCGTTCTGCCCTCCTCCGCCCCTCCCCCCTCCCGTGGCACTGTGGGTGTGCCCGTCCCCGCCCTCACAGCCACCGCCCGCCCCTCCTCGCCGCGCCCGCAGGAAGGACCGGGACACGGCGGGGCGGGGCCTCGGCGAAGGGATAACACGAGGCTGAGCCCGCGGTGGGCCAGTGCTTGGCGAGGGCGGCGGCGGAGGGGCCGGGACGCCCCTGCTCGCCGGGGACGCCGCCGGAGGACGATCTGCCCGGGGGAGGGGCGGCCGAGGGAGGACAGCGTGTGTTAAAGGCATCTGGATCTCGACATGATTAAAAAGTGTATACACATGACCTACATTTTTTTTTTAATCCTTAAAGGGTAGCAACTAGTGGGTAGCTGTTTAGATTTTGTTTTTGTGATCCTACGCCAGTTCTTTGTCCTGTTAATATTTTTGTTTGATTTATTTTTTCAAGCTTTTGTGCACAATGTACCTAGATTATTTATTAAAGCATTTATAGGACGTCTTATATTTTTTTACGGCACTTTTGTATTTTTCCAAGATTTTCATAGTTTACATATACAATCACTATTCCATAGTTTTTCTTTGTTAAAAAGAATGTGCAGTGGAATACTCACAGTACAAAAAAATAAAAAAATAAAAATATATATAGTTTTCTATACAAGTATTTTATACACACTAAAAAATCATTCATAATTGTTTACACATGCACCAGACTTCGTTACTGTATGTATAGATGTATTTATTCTTCTGTAATTTTCCTGTTCTTGTCTTACCTCTTACTCATTACAAAGAAAGAAAGAGTAACATACATACAAACACAATAATAAAAGAGGAAGAAAAGAAATAGGGTAAGATGTAAATGAACTCAGAACACAAGTGTTTGGTCTCAGGTAACACAGCCACAGGTGATAAAAACAAATGTTACAAACTTTCATCATGTGGTAGTACTTTGTTTGATAATTCCTACTCCCTTTTGCTTTTAGAATAATTTCAGGATCTCTTAGTTTGTCAGATTTGTATGGAGCATCTTTTTCCAGTTTTTGCATTAGTAGATAGTTATTTATCATGTTTTAGGTATTTAAATGGAGAGATGCTTTGGTAACTATTTAATTCTGTATGGGCTAGGGTTATATGAAATGGAGAACTCATGTAAATCTGATTTTATAGATTCTTGGTGCTATGTTAAATTATTTTATTTTAATAATGGAAGAAAATCAGAATTTGAGAGAGGTGTTTTTGCGCATTTAAAGGTTTAGTTTTCACAGGTAAATCACGAGAACTTTTATAGTTTGGTTCATGTTTTAATGCATATTGTACCAAGGAATAATTTCCTTTCTATTTAAAGTATTACACAAGTTAAATTTGTTAATTTTTTATGCTCTTGTTTTGCATAAATTTAAAAAAAAAAATTTAAAAGAAATTTTTTAAAGTGCCTATCTTGTTAGTCTCTTTTGCAGTCTTGCTGATTTAGTTTTCATTGGAAATATAACCACATTGTAAATACTATTTCTTGTAAATATGTGGTCTATATTACTAGAATAGGCTTATTGTAAAAGCTATAGTATTAATTTTTTCGTGTTTATTCGAGGGACATATTTTTATTCTATATAGACTCATAGTAATATATTTATTTTTGTTTTCCAACTTTTCTTTTTTATCATGTGTTTGTATTTGTTTAATATTTGTAATTATATATGAACCAAGCATTCCATTGTCAAATATTTAACCATGTGATCACTGTGGTGTGTGTGCCTTTGGTGTTCTGGTAAAGGCCAACAAGCTTATGCAGTGTTTATGCTGGCAAGATAGAGCTTTCCCGAGATAAATTTACTATGGTAGATGACAAGGTCCACAAACTCTCTTGCCAGAATATACAAGGTGAAGGTTTGTTGGCCTTTCACACCGTGTTGAAGGTATGAAGACCATGGCAATTGCTTGTTGTTGCAGGTGCTTCTGTGGGAAGCTAATATGAGCTTAACTTTATTTATACATTTTCTTGTTGAAAAAGGATCTTCATAAGTCTGACATATACATCATTATATATAAGAGAGTTAGCTTATTAAAGCTTTAGAAAACTTATACATTTGCATTTATCAGTGCCCTGGAACTTCCTGTGATCTGTGATTCGAGGACTTAAATATGAAGTCCAAGTCAGTAACAGTGTATTGTCATGTGATTTCTCTGTCCCAACTGCTCTAATGAAGGCCACCCTATTTTGTAGCAAGGTAGAGCTAAGACTGGTTCTTACTGCAACAGTAAATCACTAGGAGGGTCTATTAGTTCAGTATTATCAGGATTGACTAAGCAATAGGTTTGTTGGCATTTACCATGTCATTAGGTATAAAGCCATTGACAAACCTAGAAATACCTTATAAGTATTTAACTTCTGAATTTGTTTTTTCTTTGTATAGATGTATTGCATTCTTTATGTCATGTTTATTTGAAAATAGGGTTTATTGCTTGATAAAATGGTCATCATATATTATGCTTTGTCTTTGTCATTTATTTGGTCATTCCTTTTTTAATTAAAGTCAGAACTGTAAAAAGTTGATGCACATAACATTTTTCATGCACAGTTACTGAATTTGAGTGGATTTCTGTTTGTTTGCTTGATATTGGATATTCACGACACACCTTTCATTTTGATTGAGCTTAGATTTATGTGTCAGAGGCTATCTTCCTCTTAATGTTTCAGTTTGTGTATGAAAATTTGTTTTCCGTAATTAGATATGTCACCATTTCTGTGATCTTGCCCATATATCCTTAAATATTTTGATAATTCTATGACACATATTTGCTTCCTTGTTTTCCTTTGCATACATTTTTCTGTATTTTGATGAATAATTATTAGACATCTGCCTTGTTTTTAGATATTTCTATCTATGTTTTATTGGATCGTTTATTCAATTCTCTCTGTATTTTGATTATTACTTTGCACACATCTTTGCATTTTTAGATTATTCCCTTATACATATTGTTGCTTTTTTATTAATTTCTTTCTTCACCACGTTGCAGGGGAGAGAGACCCAGGGGGCGCAGATCATAACGGCAAATGGCCAGACATATTCGGTTATGCCCCAGGCGCAGATGCAAACCGTTACCATAGATGGGCAGGAAGCAATCTATATCCCCGCCTCAGTCCAGCACGCAGCAGGAACACAGCAGATACAACTTGCTGCAGGGAACCAGGCTCTGTTTGCGCCTGGCCAACTTATACGAGCACAGAATCTCATTCAGAATGTTCAGACTGTTGGACAGGTTGGAACGGTGAGAAACCTTGGACAGATTTGCCAGCTGTGATTAGTAGTTGGCTTTTGTTTAATTGTTGAATTATTGAAAAATGATGATATATTTTAAAATCAGTTATTAATTTTTAGTCCTAAAACGTTTGTGATATTTTACCATTCCCTATATAGATCTATTTTCCCCTGTAGTTTTATTTGGTGGATGTATCATTCATTAAAAAATCTCATACATTTTTTTCATGCATTTCAAACATTCCATCATTTTAAATATTGACGTTAACTTGACTGCAAGAAAAAAATCTATTATGATTAGTATCAGCTGCATTTATTGTCAGCATTGATATTAAAATTACCGCCTCTTTTTACTCCTTGTTAAAAATTGCCAGTATGAAAAAATGACAATGTGCAAATGTCAAAGAGTATTCTTGTATTTTGTGGACTGGTGATTAGAGACATTGCTCTTTAGAATTTTCGTTTTTTAAAGAGACTTCCTCCTTTCATTGAATAGAAGAAGAGAGAAGTCAGGGAAAGAGCTGAATTTGTGAAAATTGTGGAATTTGAAAAGATATTTATTGATTCACTTATTAGTGTAAATAAGCAACATGAAATATTTGGATTATCAGATTTAAAAAAAAAAAAAAAAAAAAAAGTTATGTAATACTAAAGTTCAACCTAAAAAAAAAAAAAAGAAAAGAAAAAAAAAAAGAGAAAGAAGAAGAAAAAGAGAAACACCCATGACTTCTTTTTATTCACAATCATGTTAAAAGCTGAAACATTAGCAAACATCTGCTATTGACTTCCCAATATACGAAGATAAGGGAATGTTAAATCTACAGCCGATAACTGTGGGAGGTGTGAGACCTGCAACTGCAACGGCTGGAGCAGCCCAAGCAGCGCCTACTGCCGCTGCCCAGGTGGGACAGATGGCAACACAGGTGATGCAGTCAGGGGTCGCTGGCGTACCCCAGGCCACCATCCCTGTGCAGATACCAATCTCGACAGCAGGAGGACAGACTATCCTGCAGACTATACCCTTCCCTTTACAGATCCCCGTCCTGCCCAACGTTGTCCAGGCTAATGGCCAGACCATACAGGTCATCCCTCAGATAGCACAGGTAAGCATGGTTGTTGTCGTTGTGATGTTAAATAATATTTTTCTGTTGATGACTTTGTGAAGCAATGCATTTAGACTTCAAAAGTATATGTATATTTATAGTTATCATATAAGCACATATTAGGACCTGTCTTTGTAAGTAGTCTATTTAGATACATTTTATTTATTTTAACTTGTTTTAGATATGCAATGAAAGTTTTATGATTTCACACCCTCTATTTAAAGCAACAAGTACCAGCACAGCCCCAAATAGCACAGATCCTGCTGCCGAATGGCCAAGTTCAGCAGGTGCAGATGCTATGGGGTGGGACAACAGGCATGATGTCCTTAGCTTCCAACAGCTTAGGGACGGCAGCCAACATGACGCAAATTGCCACCTCTCAACCTGTGACCACCTCCACTTGGGCGACGAACACTGTCTCTTCACCTTCTGTGTCCATACCTGCAGTTCATACCAGTACACCAACTAATTCTGCTACTGATGACAAGTCACAGGTTCAGGCCACGCAACAGGTAACGACTTTCAGTCCACAAAGACAATTGTCTTTAGACATAGGTAATTATTTAAGATAATGGGTATGTTGGTAGATTTTCTAAATAATATTAATGAGCAATAAGTTCAGATTTTGCAATATAAATATACACATTTTTTTTCCCCCCAATCAAATTGCAGGCAACTTCAGCAGGTACAACCATAACAGCGAGCAACCCTTCACAGGTGGTGCAGGGTCAAGGAGCAAGCATTACTGTTTCAAACACTTCACAGCTCTTGCCTCAAGGGATAACTGTTTCTCCTCAGGTAGAAAAAAATATATATGTTTAAGATAACTCTTTTTAGTACTAAATTTGAAGCTGATGATTAAGACTGATTACAGATTTTTTTCCTAACCAAGAATAATAGAGCAACAGTAGATGTATTATATAGTTGACAAGGCAGTGAAACAAAATCTTAATTGTCCTATAGCTGTCTGGCTCAGTTGGAGGCGGAGGAGTGACAGTGGTACCAGTAAGTCAGACCTCTCAGTTACGAGCTGCGACCCCAGCAGCTGTAGCCGCTCAGCAAAGTGCAATCCAGATTCCTCAGATACAGGTGGTGCAGCCTATAATCCAACATATTCCTGGTCTTGGCCAGGTGAGGAGTTTTGGGGACTAAGGTTCTTTTGTCGTGGCGACTTATCACTTTGGTCTTTCTTTTTTCGGTTCTTCTTTGTTTGTTTTATTATTATGAACTTATGTTTTGTGGTGATTTTTTTCTTTTGTTTGTGATTCAGCTGTTTATAATTTTTCAGTTGCTTGTTTTCTTTTTAAATGCACACATGAATATGATGTGGTTTAACTGCCTGTAATAATTTTCCACCAATTTTTTCCAACTAGCTAAAAGTTGTTTAAATGGCTATCTTCTTTTGTTCCATTAAATTGCATGTAAAGTGTTTCAAAGGTCAGGAGTGAGTTCAATCAAATAAAATGGAAAAAAGAAGATAGTATAATTGAAGAGTATATAATTATTTTGGTATTTATTCACCTCTTAAATCTAGTCTTATTTCTAAAATTTGTTTTTAGCAGGTGCTTTATTTTCATTTAAAATGTTTGAGATTACTTAAGCATTGCATTTTGTGACAGTGTTTGAGAACTGTTTCAGCTTGAATCTGAAAATATAACAACTATTGTATAATAAAGAAAGATCTTAAATTAAACCTGCATTCATTGTAATGAAAAATTTTCATTTAGTCAAAAAACACTTCTAACCTTTTCTTCTCTGTGCCCCCCTCCTTTTTTTTTCTTTTTTTTTTTTTTTAATCTTCAAACAGGTTCAGGTCTTGGCACCTTCGTCCATACATTCACTCACGTCATCCATAGGGGCATCCCAGCCTATCTCAGTGTCCACATTGGGTGCAGTCCCAACAACCACACAGCCTTCAACGAACACACTACCCACGCAGATCCTCCCTGGTGGAGCACAGATTATAAGTAAGTTGACAAAGTATATTTGAATCTTATCGTGTCTCGTTTCACGATTTGATGGCTGTAGTGAAAGACTGGTGTAGCTTAGCACTTGTCATTAGATTTAACAGGAATTTATTTTGTATATGTGGAGGTATATTTGTATTAGTATGTTTTTATTTATTATATAGAAATCTTGATAACACTATAATTTTCCTGACTCCTCAGGTGCTAGTGGCCTGCAAGGTGAGAGTGATGGGGGAGCCAAGTGGGTTGTTTCAACAGGAGGTCAGGTGAGCCAAGCTCAAGTAGTCCCGCAGCCTGAAGATTCGCCCACAAATGACCCGGGTAAGACAAGATTACGACGTGTGGCCTGCACCTGCCCCAACTGCAAGGAGGGGGATAGAGGTGGGGAGAACAAGAAGAAAGTGCATATCTGCCACATCCCCGGCTGCAACAAGATGTATGGCAAGACGTCACACCTAAGGGCACATCTGAGGTGGCACTCTGGTGAACGACCTTTTATATGTTCTTGGCTCTTCTGCAACAAGAGATTTACGCGGTCGGATGAGCTTCAGGTAAGGAAGGGATCAGGCTGTGCTCTAGATAAAGCCTTTTAGTGAAAATAGGAAAAGATGGCATTTTAAAAAGATGAGAACAAAAAAGTTACTGGTACCATTTATAACTTTTTATCTTGGATGGTAAAGAATTGGAATATTTATAAGTTGATCATAGAGATTAGTACTATTATGTATTATGTATGAAATATACCTGTGAATATTATGCCTTTACTCATGGAATACTTCACCTCACAGCGGCATAAAAGAACACATACAGGAGAGAAACGGTTTCACTGCCCTGAGTGTCAGAAACGTTTCATGCGTTCCGACCATCTCTCAAAGCATGTTAAAACACATACAAAACAGAAGGGGATGGTGAGTAATTGGAATGCTTTCTCAAATGTAAGTGGAAAACGGCTTCTTTTTTTAAAACTTTATGCTTAATTACGGTTAATGTGGGGTAAGTTATCAAAAACTGGGATCTTGTTTTTTATTGTGTGTGTCTCTGTTTATTTCATTTTGTTTGTTCTTTTTCTTGGTTTGCATTCTTTGTGATGTGAGCCTTTGGAATCCGTGTCAGAAACAAGTAAATGAGACTCCATGTTTCGATGAATTACCCTATTATCCCTTAATTATTTAGTTAGATGTATTTCTCTTTCTTGTGTCCTGTTGTTTTGTTATTTAACTGAAATGGTTTAGTTATCTTAACAGGGTAATACAGTTATTTGCTTTGGTGCCTTCTGTTCCACTTGCTATAATGTATTCCTTATGATAAAACATGATAGAATAAAAACATGATACAGTTACTACGTATTTATACATGAAGTAAATATATGCTTATGTTAATTGTAATCATAGGATATTGATGAAAATTTCCAGTTTTTTTAACTAGTAAGTATTCCTTCCTTTACAGAACATTCCCAACAACACGCAGTCATCAGACAGCAGTAACTCCTCTGATGCATGCGAGAAGATGCTCATTACCATCCCTGATCAGTCAGGTGATCCGTTGCACATTTCAACAGAAGGAGAAGTCCCTGCAAGTGTCCAGCAGCAGCAGGCACCTCAGTGATTTTTCCCTATGTCTATGCACCTATTCAGGAAACAGATGTGGATCTGTTTATGCCTGAATGTAATGACTGTATCGAGTTGTTTTACCTTCTCGTTGACTAGCTGTTGGTTGTATGAAATTATTTTTTTTTATATATATATATATTGTACAGTGAGGAGAATCTGTAGAGTAGTCATTTAATCTCTTTGTATATATAGTATATGGACAATATGATGTGCTACTTGAACAAGTGAAGTGCTGTGTTATTGTGATGGAGAAGTATATCATTGCTTATTTTTATTATTATTTTTCTGGGACACCAGAACATTCATTGCTCATTTTGTTATGCAACTGCAGAAATATTAGAGAATCCTTTTTGAGTGTGTAGCTTGTACTAGGATACAAAGAAAGTATCTGTGATATGCAGTGATTTTCATCAGGCATTTTTTTTTTTCTTTCATCATTATTGAATGCTTGAACCACCCTGAAAATCTCCATTATGCCCAGGTCTTTTAGTATGTTAAACAGCTTGCAGCTGTCTAAAGAACTTTTTGAGAGCTCTCTGAAAAGAAAGCCTTGAATAAGAGAGAATTTAAATTAAAATAAAAAACACTGCCTTCCCTTCCGGTGATAGTATTCCCATAGCTCCTTGATAGTTTGCTCACTGTAGGGAAATAGTTGCTCGAAGGAAAGACGAGAAAGATGACAGTGGACTTGTGTACATGTTCAGTGACTGTGTATGTGGAACCATTTCAAATTTATGTGACTTGAAGGACAAGATAAAAGATGTGGAGCTCTTATTTCTAGATTTTTAAAGTCATAAAGTGTACTTTAATGCACAAAGTGAAAAGTTGCCATATAGCAATATCCCCTCCTGTAGAAACTTTCGTATTTTACAGAGCTATGTCTTCATATAATAATGCGGACAGACAACAATTTTAGAGACAATCTTTTTCATTTTTTCTTTTTTCACTTAAGTGATGAGGTTTGTCTCTAGGAAATGTGTTTGTTGAAAGTATATCTTATATAAATTCCTTGCCATTTGATACAACTGAAAGAAAGATACTATTAGAATTTAGTTTCGGTATTATAAGAAGCTTCCAGCACAAAATTGAGTTGAAAAGATGAAGTTGAGACATAATTCAAATTTATAAGATAAAAATAAACAAATTTTTGGGGGGTATACATAAAGTAGATTTGATTTTGCAGAGAAACTCATGTGAAATATTTATATCTTGGAAGGACTGGAATTAGGATTAGATATAAAGGTAGTTTAACATCTATAGATCTGATGCTCTAAATTTAGTGATTGATTATTGGAGTTGCATCTGATTCCACAAACCAACCATCACTGCAAATATTTCATAATGTTAAATATTACATAGTTGTGAGTGTTTTATAGAACAGTTGACCAAGTATTTCTTTACTGGTTCACCCTCATGTTGCACATGTCACCCATCGTTTTGTGTGTATAAACATTTGTCAGTTGGGTTTGTCCTGTTGAATATCTGTGACTGTATAATAAGCTATATTTTGAAAATGTTTTTGTGGAAAAAATGTCAAAGTTTACCTCCAGGGAGATACCTAAGTTATTTGTTAATATTTCTAGACAAGAAAAATTAGATTGTTGTATGAAGTAATGATGAACATAGTTCAAAGTAGTGCATACTTGGGTGATGCAACCTATCTCAAAATTGTGTTCGTGCCAATTTTTGTTTGTTTGTTTTTTAACAGCAATTGAGGTTTTTTATTTTATTTATATATTTATTCTCTAAGCACTTTAAAATTATTAAAATGATTTGCTCTCATTAAGTGTCTTCCTAGTCAAGTGACTGTAGCTCTTACTCTTACTCTGTTAAAATTGTATATACTTAGTTATTTATTTCTTGTATATACTTGTCTTTTTACATTTTTATATTATATACACATGCAGACTCATATGCACAAGGTTCCCATGTTCGAGAACTATCTTCCCTGTGAATCTAATGGTACCTGAATTGTCTGTGGGAATTTTTGTTGAGTTTTGCAGTGTAGGCATATTGCAACAAAAACACAGGTGGTGGAGGAATTCCAATGTTTATTATAGAGTGGTAGGAACCTTATCAAAATATAGCAAATAGGTGCCTTGCCTTATTTTGTCACGAAAGAGAATGTGTTATATTCAACTGAATGCACAAATTTATCAATGTGGTTGTTTTTTTAAGCCTTGTGTACAAAAGAAATCTTAGATTATTTTTCACTCATATGGAAATTAAAGGTAATGGGTCTATCAAAATATAGCCTTTGCTATCATGTGATGGATTTAATCATCAACAAAATTAATATATTAAGTAGTTTTTCCAACGTCTAACCTGACATTTGAATTTACGGAAAGTCATGATGATAACAAAAGCCATCCATACCCCCAGGCCTGTCTCCTAGCTCCTCTGATAAGTAAACCTACATTATTTTCTCCCTTTTCACTGTCAATCTTTATCTTGTCTGTCTTTCTTTCTTTATCACAAGTATTTTTTTTCTCTCTCTCTCTCTCTCTCTCTCACATGCGGTGCGCGCACGCATGCGCACGCACACACACACACACACACACACACACACACACACACACACACACACACACACACACACACACACACACACACACACACACACACACACACACACACACACACACACACACACACACATACAACACATACATTACACACATTACACACACATGCACATGCACACACACATATGCACATACACACACACATACGCACATACACACGCGCGCACACACACACACACACACACACACACACACACACACACACACACACACACACACACACACCACACACACACACACACACCTACCCCACACACACACACACACACACACACACACACACGCATGCACACACATGCACACACACACACACACACACACACACACACACACACACACACACACACACACACACACACACCACACACACTCACACTCACACTCACACTCACACTCACACACACATGCACATGCACACGCACACGCACACATGCACATGCACACACACACGCACATCTGCACTCTTTCTTTCTTTACCCTTCTTTGTTCTTGTCCAATCTCACTAAAGGAAAACTAACAAGAATTACTTGTGTACTTGCCAAGTCACTTTCGTTATTCAAATCAACAGTTTCTTAATACTTAGGAATACATATCAGATATCTTTATTATACAACAAAGATGCTGGTGACAGAAACACCTGGTAGACATTGCAAATAAGCCATCACTTTATAATAACGTTATTTCTATTGAGTAAAATGTTCATTTAAATAATATTCTAGGAGTGGTACTGTTAGCTAAACTGAAGTCTGGTGACAGGAGCAAAAAAGTTGGAAATATTTTAATCAACTACTTATATTCGGATGCCTCTCAAAAAATATATTCAAACAATAATTATTGGTGGTGTTTTTTAATGTTTTACATGTACTACCATTATTCTCATTACTACTACTATAAAGTCTGTAACTTCATTAAAAATATATTTTGAATTCATTACAGTATAAGGAAGCCACTAATAAATATTCAAATGGTTAATGGTTAAAAATCAAAATAAATGTGCTAGACATCTGTCATACAGAACTATAGGAAAGTATATTATAGGATGGGTGAAGATGATAGTTGCTATGTGTCAACTATCTAGAGTTATCTTGAAAGGTTAAAGATGAGTAAAGGAGTTGATGTGTGATGAATGGGCTATGGTGGGTCTAGGGAAGGGAATTACATAAGGGATTCTTGTGTGTATCCAGGAGGGGATGGAGGGAGGGATAATGTATGTGTAGCTGGATTGTGTTGGGAGGAATTAGGAGGGAGGGGTGTAAGGGGAATATGAATAGGAGGATGGATGGATATCGGTAGTAGACAGAGTTGAGGGGGATAGGTTGTGCTGGGAGGGAGTAGGGGGAATATGAGTAGGAGGAGGATGAATATTGGCAGTCGCTTCGAGTGTGGAGGGAGCATGAGTTGTGGAATTTTGTGTCTTGAGCATATAACTTTGAATATCTTCCATAGTTTCTCTAGTGGAGTCAGTTGGAGAGTCTTGTGGTACAAAGGTTTTCTTATGAGGAGGGGAAGAGGAGACTGGTGTCTGAGGAATAAAGGCAAAGGTTGGTGGAGGTGAGTGTGTGGTAGGAGAAGGGGTGGAACATTTAGTCTGTCTGCTGTAGGTAGTGTAGGGAGGGGGAGGGGATGGTGTTGGGGTTTTAGTTGAGATAGGAGCTGTAGTTGAAAGTGGAGTTGTAGTTGAGACTGGAGTGTCTGCATTTAGAGTGGCAAAAGAATTTGACTGGGGAAGGTAGGTGGAAGTGGGGAAGTAATTAGGCATAGGGGAGGGTATAGGAACATCCTGGGTTGGAAGGGGAGGAGCAAAGCGAGCGACATTACTAGAGTAGGGAGTATGAGAGTTTGTATCTAAGAGTTGCTACCTCAGACTCAAACTTGTAAGTGGGGCAGCCTCTATAAAATACATTATGGGGGCTGTCGTAGTTAGCACATGTGTGTTTGTGCAGAGCAGTTTCATCAGTTATGACCGGGTTGGGCAAACAGGGGGCATCGGTCTGTGAAACAGCTGTGTTTGACAGGTTGTCAAAAGTGCCAACAGTTTTGACACTGACGTGGAGGATGTTAGTATGGTCAAACAGGGAGGGATTATCCACCAGTGTAGTTACGAAAGGGCAGGTCAAGTGTATGGAAAGTAATTTTGGCAATATTGGTGGGTTTCTTTCGATGAACTCTAGGAGGAATGGAATAGCACTGTACTGATATCACATCACGGTCTTTGAGGCAGCCAAGTAAGTCCTCTCCACAACCTGACCAATCGATATCCATAGGGCAGCTTGCTGGAGAGATGGAGATAGTTCCGATACAAGTATTGGATTAGGTTCTGCAGGAATGGGGTTGCCAGAAAGATCAGTTAGATATGATAATGCTTTAGCTTTAGTTTCAGATGTAACAGTAATGAGATGGGAACGATCGGGTTGGGTACAGAAGGGGAATCAGCCCACTTGCTTTTGGAGACATTGTTGAAAGAGGAGAGTTGCCTGAGTAAGGAGCTGTAGGGGGGATCACAAAAAATCGGTCCCATTTGGCTGGGCTAAATAGAGTATTCGAGATATTTTTAGAATTTGGGATGGTAGAAGGACAGGTACGTGTGGAAGAGGGAGTATTGTTGAGGGGGGTAGTATTACAGAGAGATGGAGAATAAGGTAGTAATCAGGGAAGATGAGGTGATTCATGAAGAAGGTTGTGGGGGTAGAGATGATGAAGTTGAGGAAGTTCGGAGAGCAGTAGTCTCAACTTGGGTGGATAATGCACAAGTAGACATTAAGGAGTGGGTAGTAGTTGTAGCGTTCAAGAGTTGTGGTCAAAGGAGAGAGGGGTCAGGGAGCCGGGAGAGTTTGAATTGGTGGGGCTGTTTGATGAAGGGGCAAACCTCATTGCCTCTAATATGGGTATTACATCTTCATTACTGGCCATGGGAAGCCTTGACTATGTTGAGGAAATAAACAGTCCACTCCTCAGGGTCCCCTTGAGGGGTAAAGGCTAAACGACTAAAATGGGAATACCATGCCCATGGTTCCCTTAGGCCATTCAGGAATGGCACAAAGTCATCCTTTCAGCCTTTCAGCATGGCTCTTAAACCTTAGGAAGTAGATAGTAGAAGGGGTTGGAGAAGGGACAGAAACGAAAGAGCTGGAGGGAGAAAGACCATGCAAAATTAGTTGAGTCGAGGGCTGAGGCCCAAGGAAGGGAAGGTCCCTGCATTGAGTCTCAGTCCCCGTCTCCTAAGCCCCGCCATAACAACAGGCAAGGGATTGGGAGGGGAAAAATATTTAGAAAAACAAATTTTAATATAATTGAAGAAAAATATTCTTTCAATTTTCTTTCTGTAATTTGTTCCTTTATCTTTTCACATCCTTTTAGTTTCTTTCTAATTTATTTTTTATCCTCTTGTCATTTCTTCATTCATTTGTTTTAGTTAAAAGCTATGTCATCAACTAATGTCTCTAGTATCTATAATGAGGTGGGGGTGAGAAAGAAAGAAAAGGAATTTAAGAGCTTGATAACACAAGTCTTGATAAGAAATATTGTTTCAGACTTGGAACTTGTTGGTAGGTCAACCCCCTATAAAATTTATCAAGGGAGCATGTCATTGTGTTGGGCAGTTTGAATGATCAAGGCCAGGTTGTGTACATGAGGGCAGTGGACAGGGTGACCAAAATACCAACATTTCTGACATGGTGAGGGAGGAGTCAATATGGTTAGATTTCATGAGGGAGGCCATGTCTACAGAAGGAAATAAATCCTGGTAATATTGTTGTAGGACTCAGTGGCCTCTGGGGGGAATAGTCTAGCATTGTACTGATACTGCATCACAGTCCACGGAGAAGGTAGGTCCTTTTTTGTCAGACCAATACCTGTTTCAGTCAGGGCAATCAGTTGGAGACACAGTAAGTATTAAGGGGGAAGTGAGGCTGGGCAGGAATAGGTTTAACAGAGGTTGGTCAGGGCAGCAAAATGCATGAGCTTGGGACATGTAAATGTAACAAGGCATGAACAACTGTAATGGTTGCAGAAGGAAACTTTGTCTACTTGTTTTTGGAGGCATTGTTGGAAAAGGAGGATATTGTCGGAGTAAGGGACTGTAGAAGGAATTTCAAAAAATTGACCCCATTTAGCTGGGCTGAAAACAGTACTTAAAAGATTTGTAGAGGTGGAAGCAGTTAAAGGATGAGAGGAATTTTTGAGTGCAGGAGGTGGACAAGTATGTAGCATAATAGGAGGATGAGGAGATGGAGTGGAGGATGTTGGGAGAGAGGAAAGGTTGTTTTCTGAAGGTTAGGTAATGACCTGGGTAAATGATTTGGAATGGAATGAGGAGGAGGGGGAAGTGATGGCCCTGTTCAGAGTCATGATCAAAGGCAAGCTAGTGGTTGGGGAATCAGAAAAAGTAGTATCAATGGGGTTATAGTGGTACAGCAGGCTTCAGTGCTCCTAATACAAGTACAAAATCATTATAAGCCATTGTAAGCCTGGAGCACGTTGGGAACAGAAATAGTTCACCCCTCAAGATCCCCATGACAGGTAAACACAAAACTGGTATTTTGAGTTCACGGCTCCCCGAGTCCACTTAAGACTGAT